CTTAGCGGACCAAGTGCAGATGGATCTGGTGGATATGGGAAAACACAAAAACCAGAACAAGGGATATTACTGGATACTAACAGCTGTCGAGATCCTTAGCCGTTATGGATTTGCTATACCTGTCTACAGAAAAGATACGAAAAACATGACAAAGGCTGTGGACTTGGGAAATACCCGGAAGTTGCTCAGTTCGACGAAGGAAAGGAGTTCTACAATGTCGGTGTTAAGAACCTTTTGCAAAAATACGACGTCCACTATTTTTCCACAAACTCTGACAGAAAAGCAGCTATTGTTGAAAGATTTAACAGAACTTTAAAAACAATGATGTTGAAATATTTCTACAGCAAAGGAACTTACAACTGGGTTGACGTTCTAGACGAGCTTACGAATAACTACAACCATACCAAACACAGCAGTACACTAATGAGACCCGCCGATGTAAACAAGTCAAACAAAGACCAGGTATGGATTACGCTATACCGATACGGATTAGGAGAATTTCCATTACCTAAGTTCAGAGTTGATGATACTGTCAGAATAACGAAGTACAAAAATATCTTCACCAAGGGCTATGAAGCAAACTTTACGGAAGAGATATTCAAGGATGTGAGCGTATTTAGGGGAGATCCTAACATGTACGAAATAGAAAGTCACGACGGAGAACCGATTATTGGAAAGTTCTACGAAGAGAAACTCTCCGCTGTGAACAAAAAGGACGATGTGTACAGAGTAGAGAAAATCCTGAGAAGAAAAAAGGTATGGCATTGGTTAAGTGGTTAGGATACGACAGCAAGCACAATTCCTGGATTCCAAAAAAAAATAGTCAGGATATAAAATAAATGGCCGACATTGAACTAGACGAAACAAACCGCGTTAACGATCGCGAAGCTGAAGAAGCGGAAGCAATGGAGGAAGGAGAAACAAGTTTCATTGATGACGACGGAAGACGGGACGAAAGCATATTAATTCCCGTCGGATTCAATCCGGACGTTGATGGATCAAGACCTATAGCGGTTCCACACCGAACATCAGACGAGATGTTGGAATAATGAAACGATCCTATACGTTGGATAAAAAGGATTTTCTTAAAAGAGAACCGGGAGTAAATATCAATAAGGGAGACGGACCATCTTCCACCATCATCTTCGACAAAACGAAACTAACTGTAAATAAAGCCGGTGTCACAGGAGATTCGCCCCCCCGGAGATTCGCCCCCCTTTCAAAAGGGGGGGGCGATATTCCTAGGATATTCGCCCCCCCCCCCGGGGCGAATCGCCTAGGAATATCGCCCCCCAGGGGGCGAATCTCCTAGGAATATCGCCCCCCCTTTAGGAATTTCGCCCCCCCCATATAAATTTTGAATTTTTGATCTAAAAACAAAACGATTGCAAGTTGAAAAGATTTATATACAAAATCACATACACATTTTAGGCTTCTTAGCAGCTGGTGGTGTGCACAGTCGGCACTACACCGGAACGTACAGAGGTGCAGCACACACCCGCAAATGCAATTTAACGATGAAACAACCCAAGTTTATTCCAGTGTTGTTCCACAACTTAGAGGGATACGACTCCCACCTATTTGTGAAAAATCTTGGGGTTAGCGAAGGTAATATCAAGTGTATCCCTAAGACTGAGGAAAAATACATCTCCTTCAGTAAGGAAATAGTCGTCGGCAAATACGAAGATAAATATGGTAAAACTAAACCAGTCAAACGCGAACTACGATGTTTAGACTCGCTCAAATTCACCCTTAGTTCGCTAGACAAGCTGACCGGAAATCTGGGTAAATACGACTTCAGAAACCTAAACCTAATGATATTCAACTGCACCGAAGAGCAGCAGGAACTCCTAAAACGGTAAGGTGTATTTCCGTACGAGTACATGGATGGCTTCGACAAACTGGAGGAAATATCACTACTATCAAAGGACAAATTCTACAGCAGACTAAACAACGAAGGTGTCAGCGTTGCGGACTACGAAAGAGCATGCAATGTATGGAAAACCTTCAACATGCAAACAATGAGGGATTACCACGACCTGAACCTGAAAACAGACGTGCTGCTGCTAGTCGACGTCATGGAAAATTTCAGAAACATCTGCAAAACAAACTACGGGTTGGATCCAATGTGGTATTACACAGCACCCGGACTTGCTTGGGACGCTGCGCCGAAGTTAACCGGAGTTGAACTGGAACTAATATCCGATCCCGACATGTACCCGATGGTTGAAAGCGGAATCAGAGGTGGAATAAGCACAATCACAAAGACATGGAAAGGCAAACAACAAGTTCATGAATAACTATAACCCGAGGAGGAAAGCAAATACATACCGGATTTGGACGCAACAACCAGTACGGATGGGCAATGAGTCAACCTCTACCTGTGGGTGAATTTGAATGGATGACCGCAGTGCCGCCCAGAGGGGGGGGCAAAGGGGGCAATTTGCCCCGGGCCCCGAGTTGCTGGGGGCCCCTGAAAAATTTTTGTAGGGGCCCCGCCTTTTTTGTGTGTTAAATATTTCCGCGCAAAGGACAAGATATCTGTTTTCTTGGGCTAAGTACCGAATTTTGGCCTAAAAAAATGAGATAAAGTCAATCGAAAGCATTTGCAACGTACTCGTCCGGCAAAATTTTGGGTCCCAAAAAATTTTTTTTACCCCTAAAATGGTACACTGAGCGAAATTTTTTTGGCGACGGGGGGGGGGGAGGTCGCCAAAATAATATCCGGAAAAAATTTTTCCGGAAAACTTTTTTTAGATAGGGCCCCTAAAAATAAATTTGCCCCGGGCCCCCGCCAACCTCTGGGCGGCCCTGGGATGACCGCAGTAGTGGGAAAATCATAGCAGTATTCTGGAAGTGGACTTGGAGTACCCCGAAGAACTCCACGATCCTCATAACGAGTACCCGCTGGCTCCGGAAAGGTTGAGGATTAATAAAGCAGACAGACCAATTCCAAACCTAAACAACAAGGAAAAGTATGTCATCCACCACGGAAACCTAAAGTTATACCTTAGCCTTGGATTAAAGTTAACCAAAATCCATCGCGGAATTAAATTTATCGAAAAACCGTGGTTGGCTGAATACATCCAACTTAACACGGATTTACGAACCAAAGGAACCACTGACTTTCAAAAAAGACTTCTTCAAGCTAATGAACAACGCCGTGTTCGGAAAAACGATGGAGAATATTAGGAACAGGGTAGACATAAGACTCGTCAACAACGAAATGAAGCTAAACAAGTTGGTCCAACAACCTCACTTTAAGTCGGTAACCATATTCTCAAAGGATCTAGTGGCTGTACATATGAAAAGGACGGTTATAAAACTCGTTAAACCAATCTATCTGCATGGGTATGAGCATACTAGACATTAGCAAAACCCTCTTTGTACGACTTCCATTATAAATACATCAAGGAAAAGTACGGGGAAAATGCCAACCTGTTGTTTACCGACACGGATTCGCCGTGTTATGAGATCAGGACCGACGACTTCTACAAGGACATCGCAAATGACGTTCACGATAAGTTCGATACCAGTAACTTTGATGAGGATCACCCACCCAACATCTCCGTCGGAATAAATAAAAAAGTCATTGGTATGATGAAGGATGAATGTGATGGAAAACAAATTTCAGAATTCGTAGGACTAAGATCAAAGCTGTATGCCTACAAAATGGCGGAAGATTTCTCAGAGGAAAAAAAATGTAAGGGAGTAAAAAAGGCGATGGTTAAAAAGGAATTACCTTCGACAACTTCAAAAGATGTCTGTTCAGCGGGGAAAAGCTGTGGAGGGGGATGAACATCTTCAGAAGCAGACTGCACGAAATATATACGGAAAGAGTTGTCAAGGTGGCTCTGTCGGCGAACGATGATAAAAGAATAATCATGGAGGACGGAATAAACACCATGGCAATCGGACACAAGGACTCGGGGGAGCGGAACTGAAGACTTTATGAAGACTCTGGGAAGACTTCGGGAAGACTCCGGGAAGATTTCGGGAAGACTCTAACAGTCGGGCGGGAGGTGCGCGGGGCAGAGGTTAGCGAGGGTTTCGGGGAATCGGGCGGGAGGTAGTTGATGCATGCGCGGTGGGTTTTCAACTAGGGATCCAAGGATAGTGCAATGTTTCTGAAAACTTGAAAAGTCATTACGGTAATATCAAATCTTTCAAACATATTGTTCATAGTTTTGCAATTCATTTGTCCAAATGATTAGTTTTGTCGATATCCCTGTATATTATTTTGTAGCATCTCAATTTATTTAATATACAAAACGCAGACAAAATTATACTTACGATAAGATTAGGCCGATAATTTCGGCCACATCACACATATCACACATTAATTGCCAAAACAGTAAATTTGCCAACTTGGCAACTTTTTACAAACGTAAACATTGTCATTGACATTGACATTGTATTGAAATAAATGTAACACGATGACCATGAACTGTACCTAAGACATAATAAATTTTAATCTTGAATTCAATTAAATATTGAAACAAAGGCTTTGTTATATTAAAAGCTAGTATATATATCTCGATTAGTATTATGCCAACACTGGCAACAGCAAACTTCGCGCTTGTTATTATCCTTTTACTTCAATTACGGCACAAAAACCAAATATCTTAATATCTCTCCATATAACTAGCCAAATCAATAAAACTCATTGCGGCTGTCTGCATGTGCACAGGCTACAATATGCGGGCCTTGAATAAATGAATAATTAAAATATTACAAAAAATTCTGTCAAATTCTGCGACACCTATTGATGGTATACCGTCTGTTCACAGACTGTATATACTATGAGACTATACAGCACGCAAGTTATATTTTTATATCAGAAAAATGCTGTTTTTATATGACTATGCTTTTATTGCAGATTAATTTTCATATTAAGATAGATTAGGGTTGAAATTATAGATTTAATATAAACGAGCGTGCTATAAATGTGGAACCAGAGCTTTAGACAAACATTTATATATAGACATGATATTGCATGTTATACTGCACGGGGATATTATATTTCATGTTATTTATAAAATAACGTGTCTGCACTGGCTACAGTCATAGAAAGAATAAAATATAGTTGTACAACTAAATTTCGTGACATAAATTGGAGATTTAAATTGAAATATAAGAAAATCATAAATAGAAATGCAAAAACTCGGGCCTCGTATGAAATGCAGCGAGTTGAAGCCCCGAAATAGAGTCTAAAATTGCATAGAAATAATACATACCCATGTTAAATCGTTTGCCCAAGGCCTGTTCTAAAATTTCGACCAGCACTCATACGCGTCGTCATATTTATTTGTGCGTGCTGATTTTGCTGACTTGCAGTTCTCACGAAAATTTGATGATACGGGGGGTGCTAATGGCACGAATCCCCCATATTTGTTATCTCAGTAAACTTTTAACATTGCTGTAATGTAGACGTTTAAACATTGATCGTCAAACTAAATCAAATTTAAGAAATTTTACTGTTGCTATAAATACCGTTTTAACGTTAAAAATTCTCCAACCTTGAAGTTTTTTTAGATATGGCATTGAGATAACATTTGTAACTCCCCCCGGAAAGTTTACTCTATGTATCTCTCGCTTGAATTTCGCCACTCATCACAATAGTGCAACGTTTCCATGGAAACATTGCACTAAAAACGTGTGTACAGTAAACGGTTTTGAAAATGGATTTCTGCTTATTTTTAGGAATCAAGGTGGGGCGGAGGTTCGGACAAATTTCGGGTGGAGATTTGGACGAATTTCGAAAAATGGATTGCAAAATGAGCCAGAACCAGCCCCTATACACTACTTAGTTTGACACAAGTTTCATTATTTTTAGAAAACAAAAAACATGATTTTCATATAGGTCGTACGTCCCCCACTACTATATTTATGCTCTTGGGTATATGTTAATTTCGCCACGCCCTTGCAAAAGCAAAAAAAAAACAAGCAAGCGTTCGCTCGTGTTGATATACCATACAAACACGGTCACTGAACCTGAATGCAGTGCAAACATGTCAAGGAAGTCAAGGAAGACAACAGATTTTCCAGTGTTGACCTTCTATGTATAGCTGTCTGACATTTTTAGCTTGACAGCGTGGTAAGGATTAAGAAACGTTGTTGTTGTATACTTGTATGTTGTAAACAGTTTGTTTTTAGCTTTCCCCGTAACGCATTCTGTTCTCAAATATGGAAGAATACATGCTTTGGAATGGAGTTTTATGACCCTCCATGCACTCCCCCAGGCATGATGGTGAATATTAATTTGGTTGGACAGTAATCGATATTAATTTTATATTTATCGCTTCCCTGCATATATTAAATCACCATCGGCAAACTGTTTGTCAGGTTGAGCTCGGTTTTCTGTGCTGTCGAATACTACAAGACCAGTCAAAGCCTTTATGCATGGCATAATTATGGCTTATGTGCCCGGTTGTTAGCACATAGCCGCTTTATTGTTTTAATCAATTTTTAATAATTAACAAGAAACATTATTAATTAATAATTACATAACATTTAGCACAGAAAAGGTGGGGTATTACTAACGCCACAAGTCTTCTTGGGATAAAGGAGACACACCCCACCCCAACCTGACAAACCGTTTGCAGATGATCATGAAAAATATCTACATATACTGATACCACATGTTACGAAAACCTCAATCTATGTCAGTTTGACTGCACATGCTATTGTCAGTCAAAAGCAATGAACTTGCACTGGTCTACACAATAACAGTACTATCAATTACCTAGTTTAATTACCTATACAAGCCTCCACTGAAATAAACATAATCAGCTGAAATGTGAACCTTACCCCTGTGTCAGTTCAATATCCAACCGATGACGAATATAAGTGTCGCCAGAGGCGATAAAATACCGTATTACACCAGTTTCTAGCAAAATAAATATCATCAGCTGAAATGTAAACCTTACCCCTGTGTCAGTTCAACATCCAGCGATGGCGAATAAGTAAGATAAAATACCTAGGTAATCACCAGTTTCGTGCGAAATAAACATGCATGATCAGCTAAAATGTGAACCTTACCCCTGTGTCAGTTGGTTAACACTATTTTCTATCCAGCAAACCGCCCTATCTATTTTCTAAAGTCGTTTCTTTTTGGATTTTTTGTTAATTCGGTTATGATTATGGTTAGGGTTAGGTTTAGAGTAAGGGCATAGATTAAGTAAGGTTAAGGGTAGGGTCTTATTAGGTACATAGCCATTTGACACCTCTTCCACCTTTCGAAAATGACGTCAGGTCAGTTTGCTGGATGGAAAATAGTGCTAACCGTGTCAGTTCAACATCCAGCCGGCAATGACGTTTGCGAAAAACAAAACATTTGTTGTACACACTGTTATTAACAAACTGGATAAATTAAATTTAGAAACGTGAATTGAGGTTATATATATGATAGTTGGAATGACTGTTGGTGATGAATGAACGTTGGCCGATGCGAGCAGTTTCAACGTAGAAACCTGCATGTATCCGAGATAAAGGATTCCCTGAAACACTTTTTAATCCAGATATGTGCCGAGAACGAATTAAATAAAGATATACTTATTAATGCTATTAATTAAGGGACGGACCATTTGATTTTTCATGGGGGGGGGGGGCGCAATCCGAAAAAAATATCGAGCATGTCTCGAATTAGTCTGCTCGAGTCTGCTGTCATTCGACGCTAATGCCGTACAGCTACCGACGAAATATGATCGGCAGTTTTTCATTGGTTCGTTTCAAAATTATACTTGCATAAATTTGCTTAGCTAATTTCGAGACGAGTATACCGGTTTTACCGATTACATAAAGTTTCTGGGTGCTGTTAGGAAAGACATTACCACACAAAAGAGCATTTAATTTTTTGGGATGAATAAATTTGGTAGAATTTACAAATCTGGCATATTTTTTTGCGAGTTTATATTTCGATTTCGTTGAATTGTTTTGCTTGACCTTGTCTATTGTCTATTGACCTTGTTTACATAATATAAGTTTTATTTAAAGTAACGCACCTGATTGGATAATAAAATTAGAAAGCCATTAAAGTGCTGAAGTGCACAATATTATATCTATTTATACGACTACGTCACTGTACAGCATTAGTGACAAATGGTCGCAGACTGTAATCCTTCCACCACGGGGGGGAAGGGACAGTCTGTGCGCAGACTAGTCTCGAATTGAAGAAAAAAAATCGAACATCAACACCATCAAAAAAAATATATATCGAGCGCAAAAAATTTCTAAATTAGCAATACCCTATATTGAAAGAAAAATGCTCCAGCCCGATTTCTGGTTCTGAATTCTGTTTGTTGCTTTGCAACATCCGTGAGTCAAAATGCAATCTGAACAATATTTTTCACGCAAGCAAAGGGCACTTTGCCACCGGTAAAAAAGGGCACTTTTTGTGTCTTCTGAAAACTTGGGGTGGCCTTGGTCCCCCGGTTCCTACGCCCCTGCACGTATTGGGAACTCTGATATCATTGGGAACCGTGAGAATTTGCATATAGATGCCATTATGCCAATGCAAATATTAATCGTAGAGTTGATTTAAAAAAAATGACACAGTACATTTGAATCATATATTTATAACATGGTATGTTTTCTTTTCCAGTACATGAAAGTTATGGAACATATTAACTGCAGAAACAGTTTTTTTATATTAAGACAATTAGGCCAAATAAAAAAAAAATACTTGGTTAGCGTCACACTCTCACAAATTTTCAGAGGCGGGCGGGCGGGGTTTTTTTAAAATTTTTACTCGTTCTTTAATTTTTTAATAGTATTTTTGGGGGGGATGGGGAGGTTTTTCCACCATTTCGTTGATATTTTTTGTACTGATGTTGCGAAGGCCGCCATTTTCAGTTAAGAACCTTGTATACCCGGGAAGCCTACGCGCTCCTATCGATCAGTATATAGCGCGAAGGTCTGAACATGAGAAAAATTTCAAATATTAAACTGTTTTAAGCTGTAAAACGAAGAGATTTACATAAAAAAATTTTTAAAAAATTCAGAGGCGGCAGAAAATCGAGAAGCGGGCGGTGACGCTAACCAAGTTTGTTTTTTATTTGGCCTTATAGTTTTTATGTTCTTGAACATTTATAAACATTAACCTTAAAAATATTAACTATACCTATAAAGTATATATTTAAATGTCTACAACGATTTTCATGACAATTCGCAATCAGCCCGTTGCGTTGCCGCCCCCGTATTTGGGAACGTTCCTCGCTCGGCTCTGGCTTACAGAAAGGGAAAAAAGCAACCCCGTCTGGATATGTTCCTTCAAGCTGCTAGTATGTATGTGAAAGGTTAATTGATGTAGTACGTGGTGAGTGCATGTCTACGTTTTTGTGCTCCACTTGAAAAATTCTAGATTAAATCACATTTTGAATATAAGTTTCAGAGCGCTGTTGACTCATTAACTGGCAGTGCGCCAAAATGCGCCCTACTTTGGTATTTCCTCTGTCTGATGCCAGCATATTTTTACTCGTCAGTGGTAGAGTACTGCCTGCCAGTAAATAGGTTACACTTGATCCAATTTTGATCGGGGCTATGGTCTACGTTTCATAGACCAATGATTTATTGAGATTCAATACATTGGCCAAGAATAAAATGAGCTGTGATAGTTATATGCTGCATATTCAAATACATTCTTCAGCCGGAATATAACCATACAGGCGTGAATGATGGTTTTTTAAAAATATTGAATGCAGGTATTATGGTATTAACGCTATATTAAAAATTTTAAAAAATATCGTGAACGCGCAATATTCGATAAAAAATAATCGTGCGGAGTCGGTAAGGTCCAAAAAAAAATCGAGCACTCTCAGAAATGCGCCCCACCCCCATGAAAAATCAAATTGTCCGTCCCTAAACAAGCAAGCACAAGTTTACGTACAAATATCATAACAGTCGAATCCCAAAATGTAACCGAATAGCCTTATTATATAATATCAACCAATGCATCATCATCTGTAAAGAACGTTATAGGCTGATTTATCATCGCCTCGCCTTGTAAATTGCTGAGTGCCAAGGGTATAAAGGCGAATAAAATGCTGGGCCGATTTGATGCATTTTCTAAGATCAATAAGCCGTCGTAACAAGGCGCGACGTGTAGGCCGTCGTCTACTGCCCCAAAATGTTTAGTTTCGTTGCACACCTCTCCAGACCAAAAGAAAATCACACATTCCCACAGACCAAATGACGCCGAATCCAAATCCAAAAAGCTCCCGCGGGCCCACCCCGCAATCCCCCTGCAAATTGCGATAAAAATCCCAAAATTCACGAATTTCGCAACAGCAGCCCCACCATATGCCACACGTCAAAATGCGCACTCTTGGAACCAGCCACTCGCGAGCCACAGTGAAAACTACACATGATAGGCCACCCCCGCCTCCCCCCGAGACATGTGAAATCAGATTTGAGGCAAACAACGAGCAACACGATTTTCAAGCTTCATACACCATTGAGACAAAGCGCATCCTCCGGCCTTGCACGAAGATACCCAGCAACACCAGGCATCATTTCAAGATCATGAACCTATGTGCACACCCTTTCATCCAAGACAGAGCAATGGACATGATTTTTAGTACAGTAATTGATATATTTGTATGGCAAGCCAAAAACTATCAAACACTTAACAGCAAATATACAAAATACACATCCAAACAACATTAATTTTATATTTTACTTACCTATTGGTTGAAGTGAATTAAGTGATTCTTGATTTGTGTGAATATAGATAACCCAAAACATAGAAAGTACTCGGATGCCGTGAAGATAAGTTAAATCACTTTTCCCAACATCCGTATTCATGATAAATTTAATGTTTCGCCAACATGAAAAGCAATTTAGAAACTCCAGAACAGAACCTAGTAGAACGTACGCAAAATAATGACATCATTTATTAAATTACAGACAAACACTCGTTCTTGTAACCAAATGATTAATTCTATATCATATTGAAAGCACCAAATGGTGGAAATTTTGAGATTAATTTTCGATGTTAAAAAGCCTATAAATTATAGTGTTAGTAAAACGTTCTATAACTATAGCTGCCAACAACGTATATCGTGCGCGTGATATCAGAGGGTCCTGAAGGGGCGGGGGGGGGGTCCCAATCCCATTTCCCACCTGAAATTTTGGCAAAATCCCAGTCCCAGTTGGATTTTTATTAGAAAACCCAGTCCGAGTTATTGAAATCCCAGTCAATAAAAAAAAGTTATTTATTGGTAGAATAAACAGTTTTAAGATCTTTTAAGCCGCCGTGTGTGCGCACCGTGTGGCAGAAGCGGTTGTGCTTTGCCTTTGAGGTATATACTAAGGGTTAAATGAAGTATGTATAAGTATGATGACAAAGTAAATAAATAAACCAGGCATATACTCCGCTGTGCATCTGACTTGGGGACAGGCATAATCAGAAAACTCAGAATTCCTGGCGCCAGAGTATGCCTGTTCGCAGGCAGTGCTGTGAATAATGTAGTTAACAACAAAAACGGATCAAAATTGTATTTTAAAATACTCAAAACGTGGAAAAATTGGGAATCGACTCGCATTACCTCAATCCCATCCCCATTTTTGAGGACTTCATTTCCCATTCCCAGTGACCAAATCCCAGTCCCAGCAACCCAAATCCCATTTTCCCAGTCTAAAAATAGATCAATCCCAGTTCCCATTTTACCCCTTCAGGACCCTCATATCATATAGTTAATAACAAAAAATAAACAAGGTTGCCGATTAAACAGAACAACAATATGCTGACACACGATATAACAGTTTACCGATATTTACATATTAAATGTTTTATTACTTCCATCGTGAATAAATAATTCGCTAGCTTTGCATGTCATACAAAATACCAACATTACTTGACTTGTATATGTATATAAATGAGTACCAATTAACATATATAAACATTTTCCGTGTTGATATACAGTTATATCAACACGAGTGGAATTAGGAAAACGAGAAATTGTATGGAAACACGACGCCCGAAGGATATTTCCTGGATTATTCACAGGAAGTGTTTTCCCAACTTCCACGAGTGTTGATATAACTATATATCAATACGGAAAAAATGTTTTATATTTTTTTTTATAATATAGCCCGAAGGATAAGAAAAATTTCCGTGTTTACAAGCGGCGGAAAATTTCCCGTGTTGACATTGAGTTATATCACGGTTAATTCCTCCTTCTATTAACCGTGGTTATATCAACACGGCTCTTAGCCAATCAGCGTTCAGATTTTACAAATGCTATATTATAATGACATTTATCACTCAAACTAACCTCTCGTTTTATCTTTTAATGTAGTTTTCACTTCATCTGGACCATTAGGCAGTAATGGCGTAATTTCGTCAATGTTTTTGTCCATTGAAATTTCACTACCATTTTCAACGATTTCCGCAGAATCACGAAGCGTATATGAATTAAGGAAAATTTCAACAGCCGTTGCAAGAAGGCATATTCCGATCAAAAATCCGCAGAATACGCTAAAAATACGGGAATTAACGTTACGGTGCTGAAATTGCATGTGCTTAAAAATTAAATTAAATTAAATAAGATATCACTTCCTCGTTGGTGAATTAATTAGGGACAAAATCTCAGGTCGCTTAACGAAATCTGTATTCTGTAGGGTAAGTAGCTAGCATGTTTAGCAATCAAACCAATGAAAGACGTAACAAATATCAGTAAGTGCCACATAAGGCCAGATTTTCTTATTTTTCACCAAACATGGTTGCGCTTAAGCGATAAAACGATAAGGTTCCAAAAGAGCTTTAAGCTTCAAATAAAATGGAAATTGGAAGTGAAATATTCTTTACTATACATACATTGTTATAACAACAGATGAAGTATACTCCGGATCTTCCGCACATTCCACTTTAAATGGTTTCGCGAGTAAAGGTTGAACATTTAGATGTGAAACTAAAGACAACAGATAATTAAAATATCAGGATGCCATTTATATTGATACAATTTCAAGGTTCACGATAAAGGTCCGAATTGATAAACAAATACTATTATATACATGACAAAAGTACTGCAATCTGATTGGTTAAGAGGAGTGCAATTATTTCATTAATTGCACCCTCCAGGAGTGCAATTAATGATTTTCGTGATGGCTGGAGGGGAGCGGGAAATCAAAACAACAAAAATCCAGTATGGCGGCGAAATTTATCTTGTATAAATAACAAACGTGGACGAATTTAACTATATTTTGGCACAAGAATGGTCAAGAATGAGTTTAAGAAACATACATGCCTGTGGAAAATACCTGGAAACAGTTTTAAGAAATAATCTCGGCGGGATGCAGCCGAAACGTGACTATGTAGCCTGAGTCTGTAATACAATTTATAAAGATTTTTGTACTCAAAAATATGTTGTTTGAATTTCAATCATGTGTTCTAGTTTAAGTTATGACTTATGTGCCTTTATGAGTTTATGATCATTTACCAATTAGTTTGTTTATGCCAAATTGCTTACAAAAGAATTAAAAACTCTTGACAAAATGCAGTTGAATTTTAAAGAAAGCGAGTTTGTCATGCATATAATAACTAAACAAGACGCTCTGTGGAGCGTTAACTCGCTGGGGCTACACAACTGACGCACATTACTGTTAAGATCTAAAGGCCTGATTCCACGAACGCTTGTTCTCGGCGAACTGCGAATTATTTCGCCTGTTTCTTTTGAATTGCGACTACTCGAATAAATTAGTTCTACTTGATTGCTAACAATTCAAAAGAAACAGGCGAAATATTTCGCATTTCGCCAAGAAAAAGCGCCCGTGGAATCAGGCCTTTAAAGGCTGATTTCCACTGTTGCGTTTTTCGTACGCACGTATACACGGCTACACGCACGTAAAACTTTGAATCCTTCTATTTTCAAATATTTTACAAATAAGTTAACAAATTCATACTAAAACTTGCGGAGCAGTAAATTCTGTTGCTTTATTGCTGCCGAAGGCAGCACACTATTCTTAACATGAAGTATTGCGTGCCTGCGTTTACTTGTGCCCAGTCTCTTTGGCCGAGTTATGTACAGTCGATCGAGATTTCGATTTGTGTCTTCAGTGTCTGTCTGTTTGTATGTATGTATGTATGTAAAGATGTCGTAATTCCGGGGAACTAATTAAGGCTTCAGGAAGTTTTTTTAAACGAGGGGGGGGGGGCGGTCAAAATTTATTTTGTATTGCGCTCCATGATACATGTTGGATTTTCACAAATCGACAATATTCTGAATAATTCAGGTAAGGATAGCTTTATTTCTTTCTTTCTGGTGATATTATATGAAGGCATTTATATTTAGATCTAATGTTTAGCGTTCGATATGAGGTATTTGAAACAATAGATCGTCTTTTTAATATATTTTGGGGTCAAAATGACTTAATGATGTACTTTTGGTTATATATTTGTTTGTGTGGCGATGCGCCAAGGCGATGAGTTTAGTGTTCATTCTAGATGTTCATAGACATAGCAATTTGCTTTCAGAACGTTTTAAAAACGCTGAATGTTGTGCGGTATATATGCTTTATAATGCAAACATATTTCCTATAGCAACCTGCCAACCCATGCAGTTTAAATTAATAATAACCCAGCGACAGACGACAGTGTGGATTGTTTTCTGCATATATTAACTTACCAGCTGTTTAATAGCCTACAGTATATGTATTAATATAACATGTCAACCGATTTTTGTACAAGGTATGGTGGTCTGTAAAAATATCTCTGAGATATGTACATTGTTAGCATAAATATGAAATAATCCTACCGGCCTACATTCATATATTCACCCTGGTTGTGTGCCTGTGTCACTACATTTCAGGGTATACTATATTTTTCGATAGTGCTCACAAATTCTTTCCTATTATATAGTTTTGCAGTTCTGGCTGAGTACAATCTTAGTCATTACAAATGAATGGTGTCATCTGAAGCAGACGTACTAAACAAAAATGTCAACAAATAGATTTTGTCTCCCCATCAGGAGATTAGTCAGTTGTTCTGTGAACGGCATTGCCTTGAAGGTGCCATTAAAATTGGGACAAAAACTGACTTATTTCTATATATTAAATTGTTATTAAATTCTATATGTCCAATGATTCATTCAAGTATTATTATTGTTTATGTATATGATATTGTACAGTATTCAGTGGCAAGCTAGCCATGGTAACTGGTTCATGCTATGCTAATAAACCTACAATGCAAATGCCTACAATGCAAATGCATAGCTAGTAAACTTGCATAGCATGATCTGTTGCAATGGCTAGCTTCACCACTGACAGTATTATGATTATACATACAAAAGCAAGAAGTTATTAGCATTGAAGGTATTCATATAAAATCACCCATGCCAACAAAGTAGAAATAGAATATTTGGCTGACCTTCGACATTGTGCAAGGTGTTTGGTATTGAAAATGCATTTTTCCTACCCCATGAACAGGTCTTAGGGGCTGTTTACATGATGGAAGATGGGTGATTTTGAGTATTAGAATGTTAGGGTTTGTAATCCAAGTGAGAATATATACATTTTAAGACATAACCAGGAACGACTGCGAAAAATGCAGCACAACGTCCTCTGGTAGGAATTGAACCTATGGCCCTGCGATTTCGGTGCAGCGCTCTAACCAACTGAGCTACAGAGGCCAGCTGTTGAGCTGTAACCGTAAGTTCATGTATATATAGGTAATCGGGTGTGCGGGTTGTGATAAGGTGGACTTCCACATGAGCTTGCGGTTACAGCTCAACAGCTGGCCTCTGTAGCTCAGTTGGTTAGAGCGCTGCACCAAAATCGCAGGGCCGTAGGTTCAATTCCTACCAGAGGACCTTGTGCTGCATTTTTCGCAGTTGTTCCTGGTTAGGTCTTAAAATATATATATTCTCACTTGGATTACAAACCCTAACATTCTAATATTAATTCCACCAAGTGAAGTGCAATAATCCAAATCATTGGTTTTGAGTATTGACTATTGAAATAAGTCACTAGGCTAAATGAAACTTCAAATGCTGGTTAACAGAACTGAAATGTTATGTAGACCATGACTTATTTCAATACATCGAAATCGCCCTGCCTCATATCTCGTCCTGGCAAAGCAGTATCATATAAACAACCCCTTATTCAACAAATTGTACATGCTGGCTTTGATCCATTGGGGATGAGGCAGCACTTTCCTTGCGATAGTAACTTCTAGTTTATTTGGTTATTTTACAGATTTAAAGTTTTACGTGCGTATATTAAGCCTGGTGTGGAAATTAAGCCTGGCCATAAACGCCGGAAGTTTCCCCTATAGCTCGGGCCCAAAAGTAAAGTTATATTTTATAGTACGCTACATTCTTCTGTCGGCCGCCAGTTTAAAACGTTCAAAATAAAATATTTTGGGGCTTTTCGGATCAAAATATTATCAAAATGAAGAGAGAAGTGAGACGACTCCACTGGTGTACGGCCGAAAAAGAGAAAACCAATGATACCAAAGTTATCAAGGATCAAACGTACTGCATCTTTTATATTTAAAATTATTTGAGCGATTTGTCAACAAATAATACAATTTCGCTTGGCTTTCAAAGACAAAGTCAAAGGCCATAAATAGCTATAATACTGTTGTCAGTTGTTTAGTAATACATTTGACATCCGTAGGTACAATTTCTCATCCGTAAGTACAATTTCTTACACTGAATCGAACGGTGGTATTTTTATTGCGCCATTAATTAGGATCTTGTCTAAAAGTACACACGACTACACGAGTGACCACGAGTGACCACGAGTGACCACGAATGACCACGAGTGACCACGAGTGACCACGAATGACCACGAGTGACCACGAGTGATTTCTGTGTTTAAAAGTCCTAAAATAATAATAAAAAAGCCATTTTAAGGTGGCTCCATAGTATTTTTGCATTATACTACACTTTTGTATCCAGAAAACGCCTGTTTCTTCACTTTACATGACACGAAGACGAAATTTATTGGACACACTGACAATGCTCTCCTGAACATTGCAATGCGCTACTTTTGCGCAGAAAGTCTGTTACCATGGCAACAGTGTGCTTAGGATAAGGCTCAAAATTTGTCTTTTTTTGGCCATTTTAAAAATCCTTTCTGGAAATTTTTTTTAGTTTTTCGACTATTGTACACGTCAGTCTACAGGAACATAGCAAAGCATCTGAAGTTGGGGGGGGGAGGGGATTGTCGGAGGATTTTACCTGTAATTTGAATTTTTAATTAATAAATATTTACCTAAAGTGTAATAATTATAATAAAGCTTCTTGTGATAATGACTTGCACCGTCGTACTAAGTTTCGGGAGAAAACGGGGGTTTGGGGTCCTCCCCCCCAAAATTGTTCCATTTTTGAAGCTCTAGGACTGCAATTCTAGGACTGCAATTCTTACAAAAATGGTTATCATTTCACACAAATAATTACTTTACTAGAAGTTACTATCGCAAGGGAAGTGCTGCCTTACGACCCATAGTCCTGGGGATTGATTTATACAAAAAAACTTCATTTATTTAAATTGCCTTATATATACACTGTATGTATGAATTTATTTTGTTTAATAATGCAATAATTACTATATACTGTAAACTGGTCTTCGGATTTTCATATTTACACATGTGATTGTTGGTACCAATGTTTTAAACCGTCTTCACTTGTCAAAACGTCTAGAAGAACACAATTAGGAAGAACAAACGTATGTTTTTAACGCGATATGATTAGTTTGTTGCAAGTTTGCATGTTCTTTCCAAGTAATAATAATCTATTGTATTTTCCAATTGGTAAACAAGACAGTGCCATGATCATTCATTGCTTTTTTTGTCCAATATGCAGATGTTTCGTATTTGTTTATCATGTACAGGTATAGTGTCCATTGTTGGCCATCATATTGTCCAATAACTTGTTAGGTTACTGTACATAGAAAGGTATGTAATATCTTGACATACAATGTTCCTGACATCCATATGGTAGATTGGAAACAAGAACAGTAATTTAACAATACGTGGCAGATTCCATATCCCATGCATTAGATTAGATGTATTGTAGTATATCCATACAATCTTGTAAATCAGCATTCTTGTTTACAGAAATACATTATTTTCTCTTAATCCAGAAGCTCCCGTCCATTTTCATGAGATGTACAGTAATATATCCATATCATATTTTGGCTGTAACAACCATTTGGTTTCATCCAGCAGTTAGCATGGCACCATTCACATCTGTCAGAATTGCAAAACTATAGAAAAAAATAATTTGGTGGCATGAGATATTTATGTGGAAACATAGTAGCACATAACTGAATGAAAATAAAAGTAGGGCAGGGGGAGGGGTTAATAAACAAACAAAAAACTTACCCTTCTTTTGTCTTGCAAATCATAATATTTTCATACATACAGTGATAACAAGGAGTAAATTAGTTATTATATAATAAAATTAAATTATTTAAAAGGGTATATAGTCAAAGTACATACCAAACTATAACTGGGATACATATATGAAATCCCTCTCTTATTCAAACTCAGTAGTTTGTTGTTCAAAATGCACTGCTAGTAGCCTGTGCTAACTGATCTAGCCTGTTTTCTTCTTCAAGCCTATATTGTAAGTTAGCGGATGATTTCAAGCTTGTTAATCGCTCATACGTCATTGGTTCAATGACACAAGATGAAAGTGATTTTACTCTGCTAATAGCAACATAAGAAACTCCAGCAGTTCTTTCAGATTTGCCAATATCTATCCATGCTTTTGGTAGTGTAAGTCCTTGGCTCTTGTGTATTGTTAGAGCCCAAGCAAGCCTAAGAGGTAACTGTTGCCTCTCATGGAAACCTATTTCTGTCTGTGATGTGACAGTGATTGGACATATTGGGATACACAATGGTCGGCTTTCATTAAAAACAGGTCCTCTATAGTTTTCAAATTCTACTATTACCGCAATAGGTAAGTCAGGTGGTTGATGGTTGTTCTGATAGATAATATCAACAACTGTTCCAGTGGCCCCATTGCAGAGGCCAACACTTGACCACAAATTCATAGTTAACATGACCC